ACTGCTCGGAAGGCTCCGCGTGGCCCCACACACCGCAAGCTGCAAGTTCGCCACCACCTCGCACGCCTCCGCTAGATTCAGAATCCGGCACATGGTCAGCATGGGGTCTCTCCCCGCGCGAGTGGGGGGAGGTGCAGTCGGCGCTTCGCGCGGATACGCCGTCGGCCAGCCTGGAGTTCGGCCAACAGATAAGCGCGGCGCAGAGAAGCCGGGGACCTGACGGGGGGTGCGGAACTGAGCCCTCCCCTCTCGCGCGGGCCGATATTCGCTCAGCGTCGGCGCGCGCAGAGGAGCAACCTGGCCTGGGTCCGCGGCGAAGGGGGGACCGTTGGTCACCTCTATATGGACGTGAGTCGGCCCCCCACTCGCCCGGGCCTGCCGCACCACCTCCACAAACGTGTCTGCGGCGTGATCGAGGGCAGGATCCTGCTGGCGACCATTACCGCCACGACCTCCGCCATTCCGCCGGCCTCGCCGGCCGCCAGAACCTGCCGAGTGAGGACGCGGGGGGGACTGCTCGCGACGCCCCGAATCCCAGCGACGTCCAGGCGACCCCCTCCCCCTCGTCGCCGGAGATCGCCGCGGAGACCGTTGCGCGGGGGATCGCGCTCGGGGTGAGCGCTGGCCTGCCCGACCACGAGGAGACGGGTGGCGAGGAGAACGAGGACGCCCAGGGGATCGCCGATCGCCCCCACCCCGCGGATGAGCCTCGCGATGCTCAGGAGATGGGCGCCGAGGAGAGGGCTGCCGCGGAGGCTGATGCAGAGGCGAGCGCCCGCGCTCCTGCCGCGGCTGACCGTCCGGGCGGTTCGACGCAACACGCGCAGGGGCCCACGAATACTCCGGCGAGGTGGGGCGCGGGGCAGGCCGTTGGGGAAGAGTCAGCACCCGGTCGAAGCGGCGGACGGGCTCGCTTGCGGAGGGGTGCGCAGGGACACGCGGGCGAAGACCGCCAGGCGCAGGTTCCGGCAACGCGCTCTCCGCGGATCCCTCGAGCTCCGGATCCCGTCTCGCGGATGGATCCATCACCCCCGACCACACCGCAGCCGACGCCAGCGCGCCGACAGAACGAGGACGAGGTGGACGTGGCGCCGCAGGCAGGGCGCGTGGGAGCCGCGGAAGGGAGAGGAACGCGGGGTATCCGCGTGGGACGCGGCAGCAGCCGCCGCGGACGACGAGGGAATGGGAGGGGACGAAGAGGTGGAGGAGCGCGCGGCACAAATTGGCGCCGCACCGGCGCAAGCGGTTACGCGAGAACTGCTGAAAGGCTAATACGCGAAGGCGTGGAAGGTGGCGAGGAGGAGCACAGCGAGGAGGCAGAGGACGAAGTTGAGAATGAAGAAAGCGAAGGGGGTGACCCTGTTTTTAACCCAGAAAGAGAGGGGATGTTGGAAGCAGAAGCCGAGGACGAGGAAGAATTGGAGATGCTACTTCGGGAAGCGGAGTTTCCAAACCATCAGGCCCGGGACGAACCTGCAATTCGAACCACAGGTCGAAATCGAACCGCGGGGGGAAATCGTGCAAGGGGGGGAAATCGAGCCGCGACAGAAGACGGAATGGACTCTGCAGCAGCCAATGATAATTCTGCAGGCCCCTCCCCAACCCCACCAACGCTCAAACCTGACGACCTGGCGAAAAATACCGACCTTTTCGCTCAGGTTGCAGACTGGAACCTTGACCCGCTGCGCGACAGTCGCCAACCTCCCCTCGCTCGCCACCCCCCCAAAGACCTTCGCGACTCCTTCGCGATCTGCATGTTGACTCCGTTACTCCACCTGGCGGCCAATCCTGAGTCTCCACCGGATTGGAACTTACTGACTTTTCTCCCGCGCTTACTCCTCCGCACCTCGTCAGCCCGCAAACCTGACTGGAGCGCGATGATGAATCGGCTCCAGCGATTTCGCCAAGGCCTTTGGGGGGACCTGTACGAAGAAGCTGTCCAGGCGATCTCACTGCCACCGCAACCTCGCCACTCACCTGACACAACGGGGATACTTGCACGGGCAGAAGGACTCGCAAAACGGGGTAACCTGTCAAAATCACTCCAATCCCTCCAGGCCACTCCTGTGTCTCCCGCCTCACCTGAAGTGTTGGAAGCCCTCACGACGAGACACCCATCCGCCTGCCAACCACTTCCTGACTGGCTCCGCACCGCCACAGCGGAAGACCCACCCACTATCGAAGCTCGCGACTTCAGACGCCTCCTCGCCAAACTCCCCAACGGAGTAGGGGCCGGCCCATCTGGAACAACCTTCGAGCACATCCGCGACGCAGCCCTGGGCAACGCCGAAGTACTCACCCACCTCCTCGCCCTCACTAACACAGCTCTAGCAGGAAAACTCCCCACAGTCGCGGGGGATCTTCTAACGGCATCCCGCCTGTTAGCATTTACGAAACCACAGGGAGGGACGCGGCCGATTGCGGTGGGGGAGTGCCTCCTCCGGATAATAGCAAAAGCCGCGCTCTTCCTCACTGCGCCGGCCGCTCGTACTCACTTTGCTCCGCTTCAGTTCGGAGTCGCAGTAGCAGGAGGGATCGAAGCGGCTATCCACTCCGCTCGCACGTACCTGGAAATGCACCCAGGGGCTGTGGCGCTGCAGATTGACCTCGCGAATGCGTTCAACGCGGTCGAAAGAAGGGCGGTGTTTGAAGGACTGAAAAACGAGGAGCTGAAGGAACTGATTCCCCTCGTCCGCCTTTCCTATGGGACTCCCTCCTCGCTCTTCCTCGACCACGACTTCGGCGCAGCCCCGCTGCAGAGCGCCAGGGGTGTTCGCCAAGGAGACCCGCTCGGCCCACTCCTGTTCGCGGCTAGCATCCACCCGTGCCTCGTGGACACGGCGGCTGCACACCCTCAGGTGGTCCTGCTGGCGTACGCCGATGATATCACGCTGCTCGGCGACGCCACGGCCTGCTCTGCGGCTTTCGACCACCTCACCTCTGCTTTAGCCGCCCTCGGCCTGGTGCACAATCCGGCTAAGTGCGCGGCGTGGTCCGCCGCAGCAATCGACGCCTCCTCAGTCCCCCCAGGCGTCACTATCTCTGAGGAGGGTTTGCAGATTCTCGGCAGCCCCGTGGGCACTGCCCGAGGCTGCGCAGATGCTGTGAGAGCGAGATTGGAAGCAGCAGCAGCGCCTCTCCCCCTACTGGCCCAGATGGACCCCCAACTTGCCCTCCTCCTCCTCACCCGCTGTGTCAGCCGCCGAGCTTCCTTCCTGGCCAGAACCACCCCCCTAGAGGCCCTCCCTGAAGCCGAATGGTCCGCTTGGGGGGAACAACTCCTTCACACCTTCCTAGACTCGGCCCACATCATGAGGCCGAGGAGCGTCAGGGAGAGACGGAGGATTTGGCGGCAGGCGGCCCTGCCAGTGACTTTGGGAGGCCTGGGCATCACTGACCCCGCCGTTGAAGGCAGCTATGCCTACCTTGCCTCAGTGATCAGCACAGCCCACCTCTTGCACTCCCTGGAGGACTCGTTGCACCCCGCTGTCGCCGCGCTCCTCCCCCTTTTGGATCCAACCCACGGCTCCCCACACGCGCTACCTGCACGCCTCGCCGCGGCTGAGGCAGCCCTGCCCCCCGAGGCTCTCGAGGTGCTCCAGGCCGGGAAGGCTGACCCCAAGGGACTGAAGCTGCAGCAGAACCTAGCACTGGCGGTTCACTCCCGCCGCTTCCTGAGAGTCATGCGCGAGGCGAGGCGGATGCGCCCCAACCCCCGCTCTGGCCATGCGCAACGGATGCAGTCGGTGCTGGGCCCAGGCGCGGGGGATTGGCTGCTGGCGATCCCGCTCACCCCCTCGCTCCGGATGGGCCCGTCCCAGCTCTCAACTGCAGCTGCCTTCCGCCTAGGCCTCCCCCTCCCAGTGCCTAGACGCTGTGACTGCCGCTACCGCACCACCTTCCCCGACGACCGCCTCCCCAACCACCTCATGCGCTGCGAGAAGGGGAAAGGGAGGACCGCAACCCACCACGCTCTGCGGGATGAGATAGCGAACATTGGGGCGGAGGCGGGGTTTACGGTTCACAAGGAGACGTATGTCTACTCACTGGTTGAAAACCTAAAGGCGGATGTCACCATCCGCCATCCCCTGACTGGTGAGGTTTGGATGTGCGACGTGACCGTGACGGACCCGGTGTCAAGGCAGGACGAGAACTGCAACCGAGCTCCTGGATGGGCGGCCAGGGCGGCAGCAGAGAAAAAGGAGGATAAGTACGCACGGCGGAACGCGTGGGTGGGGTTCCACGCGCTTGCAGTGGAAACTTATGGCTACCCCTCGCCGAGGGTGATGGCTTACCTGCGGCAGTGCGCAGAGCTGGCGGCAAAGCTGCGGTTTAACGCGGCTCCTACCTCCTACGAAGCAGCGAAGCTGCTGACGGAGTACCGCCAGCGCTGGAGCGTGTGCCTCCAGCGGGCGCAGGCCAACGCCCTCCGCACCAAGACCAACGAGGCCTTGGCGGCGGACGAGCTCGGCTTTAGAGGACCCATCATCCCTCTCAGTGAGGGACAGCTGCACCAGTTGATTGAGGCCCCGTTCGACCAGTAGGGTCGGACAGAGGGGGGGGGGGGCTGAGTAGGTAGGAGACTTGAGGTAGTTCGGATCTCGGTTTGGATGTTTGTTGTGCTTGTGTGTTCTGCATCTTCCTTTGTGCCACCCCTCATGGTAATGCAAGGACCATTCGAGAGAGAGAGAGAGAGAGAGAGAGAGAGAGAGAGAGAGAGAGAGAGAGAGAGAGAGAGAGAGAGAGAGAGAGAGAGAGAGAGAGAGAGAGAGAGAGAGAGAGAGAGAAGGGATGGTTTGCTTGCTTGAGTGTATGTGCACTAGACTACAAGATTTATTAACATCCTAACCTAAATTGAATGACATGCACACCACCCATGCACCATCAAGAATTGATGTGGCACATATTGCCGGCGACGGCCATGTAACACCTATGTAAGATTAGTATATCTACCGTAGCTGCTACAGTATCCATCGGTCTTCCATTGTCCCACATTCTTGTCACCTTGTGTCACTGTCCTCTTTGCCCTCCTCCTGAGAAGTATCACTGCTACTGCTGCTGCTACTCTTCTTGTCAATGCCGCCGCTGCCGCCACTTCCTCTCTTCCCCTCCTCCCCTCCCTCCACAGCACTCCCATTCCTCCCCAACCCCACGCCCCCAACCTCCCCCAATGTTTTCACAACCGGCCCTCCCAACGCCTCCTGCTTATATCTCACTCTCATTCGCGCCAGTCTCTCCTTCTTCCTCCTCTCCTTCTGCCCCTTCTGCCACAGTCTAAACATTCTATCCCGCTCGATCGACCCTTGCCACTGCACCTCCCCCAGATGAGGCCAAAGCCACCGCCGCCCATTGATCGCGTGGGCGGGGTCGTCCGTCTCTTCTGCCCGTTCCTCATCCATGGCTTTAAGTACCGGGCGGGAGAACCATTGGAACCAGGCGCGCCGGGAGCGGGATTTGGAGCGTGTGGGGACAGGGTGCTGCTCTTTGAGGGTGCCAGTGTGGGGGTTCAGAAGCAGCATTCTCTTTCGGCTGTGATACGCCCACACGTTCACAAGCCGGTCAAGCAATCGGCAGTAGCAGTGCCGCTCCTGTTGGGGTGAGAGAAAAGGTGAGGAAACCGTCAGTTGGTCATCGTCTCTCCTTGATGCAGAGGTACGCCCACACGTTCACAAGCCGGTCAAGGAATCGGCAGTAACATTGCCACTACTAAAGGGGGTGAGAGGCATGACAGTTGGGATAGAGAGAAACGACGAGAAAAAACTCGTTTGCAATTAACTCAACTGTTTTCCGCCCATACATTCACGGGCCGATCTATTTGACCTATCAAAGCACAGCATTGTACCAAACCTCATTCTGTGTGTGCTGGGGGTTGCATACCACTTTGGTACCTTGTTGGACGCGTCCTATGCCTGGAACCTTGTACGTTTGCTGCAATCTCACCCCCTACATCCCCTTTTCAAGCCGCACGTGTCTTGCCCTAAGACGCCATGCCCTGGCATGCCTTGCCTATCACCTCACCTCTGCGTGGCTCTGAGCGAGCGGGCACGCGCATGGGCCGCGTGTCTCTGATAGAACGTCCCATCCAGGGATGGCTTTTGAGTCGACTCAAACGTCCAGTGAAGAGCACACTATTACTCCCAAACCTCACCTCTGCGTGGCTCTCGGCCAAAGGACACGTGCCGTGGGCCGCGTGTCTCTGGTAGAACCTCACATCCAGGGCATCAACGAACATGCTGTTGTGGGGTTCAGAAGGATAAAGGGAAAGGGCAGGGCAGAGGAGGTGGGGTTGAGTGGACTCAATCGTCACAAGGGGCATGTGCCGTGGGCCGCGTGTCTCTGATAGAACCTCACATCAAGGGCATCAACGAACATGCTGGTTTGAGCAAAGAAGGGGGGGAGGGAAGGGAGGGAGGGAAGGGAGAGAGGGGAGGGAGGGAGGGGAGGGAATGGGAGGGAGGGAGGGGAGGGGAGGGGAGCGGGGTTTTCAGTCAGCTACGATGTCACCACACCGTGGGCCGCGTGTCTCTGGTAGAACCTCACATCCAGAGCATCAACGAACATGCTGGGTTGGAGCACAAAAGGCGAGGGAGGGAGGGGGGAGGGCAGAGGAAGCAGGAGGGCAGATAGGGGGGTTTGAGTGGACTGAATAGTCACAAGGGACACGTGCGTGGCTATGGAACATATTTCCCCCACCCCATGTCTCTCCACGCAAGGGGGATGGTGACGGGGGACGGTGAGACAGACAGCACAATGTGAGCGGAGCTGGGAAGACTATCACCCACTTGTGGAGTGGACTGAATAGTCACAAGGGACAAGTGCCTGGCTATGGAACATATTTCCCCCACCCCATGTCTCACCACGCAAACAGCATGAGCTCCACGAAGTTGAGGGAAGGCATGGCCCATGCATGCATGGCGGACCAGGTGCCTCCTCCAGTGCCGCTATATAACCCCCCTCCCAGCCCCCCACCCCATGTCTCACTGCGCAAACAGCATGAACTCCAGGAAGTTGTGGGAAGGCATGGCCCATGCATGCATGCCAAACCCTCTCACTCGCCTACTCCCAACCACCCCTGCTCTCCTGCCCGTATCCCACCCATCCTGCTCCACTCACGCCCCATCCCTCACCGCGCAAACAGCATGAACTCCACAAAGTTGTGTGCCGGCATGGCCCATGCATGCATGGCAGACCAGGTGCCTCCTCCCACAGGCATGGGCGGCAAAGTTGTCCAGTTGGACGGCAGGCTGTACACCAGCCTCATTGCTTCGAGGAATGCAGCTCTGTGGGGGGTAAAGGAGGGAGATACAAAAGCATTAGAGCATGGAAGGCCAGGTGCGTTCCCCCAGCAGGCATGGGCGGCAGAGTGGTCCAGTTGGACGGCAGGCTGTACACCAGCCGCATCGCCTCTAGGAATGCAGCTCTGTAGGGGGTGATGGGGAAGAGACATGCGAGTGAAAGAGAGAGGGCCGACTGAGCATGTGTGTGTGAGGGAATGGCAGACCAGGTGCCTTCCCCCAGCGGGCATGGGCGGCAGGGCGGTCCAGTTGGACGGCAGGCTGTACACCAGCCTCATGGCCTTGAGAAACGCAGCCCTGCAAGGTAAGTCAAGGGAATGGAGGGAGGCATGTGAGTATGTGAGCGGGCATGGCCCACGCACGCATGGCCGACCAGGTACCCCCTCCTCGAGTGGGCATGGGCGGCAGGGTGGTCCAGTTGGAGGGGAGGCGATACACCAGCCTCATGGCCCCTGCATGGCAAAGAAAGGTAATGGTGTGTGCCATGGGATATAAGGTGTGTAATCACATCACATAAAATCTCAACCTAAGCTATGCAAGCGGCCCTGCTCACCTGCAATTACCACAGTTCATCATGTGTCACCCACACGTTGTCCAACAGTCACATCCATGTGCCACTGCAGTTCTGCCCATGTCACATTTGTCACATCCACAATGCATCATGTAACAGCCCCTCCTCACCTGCAGTTACCACGGTTCATCATGTCACATGTCGTCCAAAAGTCATCCCCTGCTCGCTCCTCCAACCCCCCAACAGGCATCTTCCCCACTCCTCCCCCTGTCTCCCCTCTCCCATCCCCCTTTCCCCCATGCTCTCCTGCACCTACCCCTCCCCTTCCGCCTCCACTTCCCCTTCCCTCTCCTCCTCCGCCCACCTTCTCCCCATCCTCCCCCAGCGCCGCACTCCTCGGATCCCTATGAATCTCCACCTGGTCTACAGTACTCACCCAGAACACTACCGCATCCGCTACAGTCCCGCCCTCTATAGTCCCAACCAGCGCCTTTTCCGCCGCGCCGCTCAGCCCCACATTCTCCGCCTGGACCCGCCACGGCTGGAAGCCTATCCAGGGGTTCCTGTGGACTCGGTCTATGCGGTAGTTGATCGCCAGCAGGGCTGCAAAGTCGCAGAGCACGTCGCGGTAGTAGGGCGAGGCGAGCATGGGGAGGCGTGCCCATGCGTTCACATCGTCATACAGGTTGGGGCGGCGGGAGGAGCGAGACTGAAGAGGGGAGGGGGGGGTGGGGGTGGGGAGGAGAGGGGGAAAGATGGGGGAGGTGAGTAGGGGAACGGTGGTATGGGGAGGAGATCATGGGAAACGGCTGGAAGCCAATCCAGGGGTTCCTGTGGACTCTGTCTATGCGGTAGTTGATTGCCAGCATGGCTGCAAAGTCGCAGAGCACGTCGCGGTAGTAGGGCGAGGCGAGCATGGGGAGGCGTGCCCATGCGTTCACATCGTCATACAGGTTGGGGCGGCGGGAGGAGCGAGACTGAAGAGGGGAGGGGGGGTGGGGATGGGGAGGAGAGGGGGAAAGATGGGGGAGGTGAGTAGGGGAACGGTGGTATGGGGAGGAGATCATGGGAAACGGCTGGAAGCCAATCCAGGGGTTCCTGTGGACTCTGTCTATGCGGTAGTTGATTGCCAGCATGGCTGCAAAGTCGCAGAGCACGTCGCGGTAGTAGGGCGAGGCGAGCATGGGGAGGCGCGCCCACGCGTTCACATCATCGTATAGGTTGGGGCGGCGGGAGGAGCGCGACTGAAGAATTGGGGAACAAGAGGGGGTGGGGTGGGGGGAGAGAGTAAAAGGATGGGGGAGGTGAGAGGCAGGGGGTAGGGGCACGGTCGTAGGGGGATGAAAGCATGGGGAGCTGTGACCATGCAGCATCTAAAAACCCAGTTGCACACAGTGCACACTCACCAGGCTAACCCCGCGGTACAGGGTATCCTTGTCATGAATGAACGGCCAGGATCCGTTCCCAGAGTACGGCTCGTAGATGCAGATGGGCTGGCCGGATCGCTCGAGGTCACCGTCGTCCCTCTCATGCAGCCCACTCCTCTCCGCCCGCTTCACCCCCACCTTCACCTCCTCCCATGACAGTGACTCGTGCTCCCTGCGGTCCCATAACTGGCATAACGGAAGGCCGGGCGAGAGGGGCGACAGGGGAGCGGGAGAAGTGGAGGGAGTAAGGAGAGAGGAAAGTGAGGGAGAGGGGAGAGGGGACAACGGAGAGCGGAGAGGGGGTTAGGGCACGGAGCACAGTGCAGATGGGCTGGCCTGATCGCTCCAGGTCGCCGTCGTCCCTCTCATGCAGCCCACTCCTCTCCGCCCGCTTCACGCCCGCCTTCACCTCCTCCCATGACAGCGACTCGTGCTCCCTGCGGTCCCACAGCTGCAGGTAACAGGACAAGGGGGACAAAGGGGGTCACTGTGAGGCGCAGGGTGCTTGCTCGCTTCACGCCCACCTTCACCACCCCCCACGACAGCGACTCGTGCTCCCTGCGATCCCACAGCTGAAATGGGTGGATTAGGGGAAGGAGCGTGGGATTAAAGGGAAGGAGGTAGAGGACAGTGACTTGCAATTTTTTTGTGCCCCCCCTTCACCTCGTACCACGACAGTGACTGTCTTAAAACATATTTTCTTTCACATGCATCCGGGATGGTATCTGAAGCACAGACTCACAATATCAGCCTCCAGTTGCTCCTCGGGTGCTTTCAGATCAGGCACTCCTGCTACTGCTGCTGCTGCTGCTGCTACTACTCCTATCCTCGCGCCTGTGTTGCCCTTCTCCTCGTCCACAGTAGCAGTGGCAGCAGCTGCTGAAACCGCACCATCTGAAACCGCTGTACTCGACTTAAAACCACTCAGAGCCGCTGCTGCCTCTCCATCTGCTGCTGCTGTTGCCCCTGCTGATGCGCCTGCTGCACCTCCTTCTCCTCCTGCTCCTCCTGCTCCTCCTATACCAGTCACCCCACCACCAGCCCCGCCTCCCACAGCCTCCTCAGCCCCATCCATCTCAGCCATACGCATGCTATCCCTCGTTTTATCGCCCATCAGCAGCGCCTTTTGAGGCACCTCAAAACCCCCTGCCCCGCCTCCCACCACCGCCTCCTCAGCACCATCCATCTCGGCCATGAGCATGCTGTCCCTCGTTTTGTCTCCCATCAGCAACGCCGCCTCCCTTCTCTTCAGCTCCTCCCACTCCTCCTCCATCTGCAGCACCACATTCCTCCTCTCACTCCCTCCCTCACTCCTCGCACTCCCATCGCTCCTCCCATCACTCCTTGTCACGTCCCCTCTCTCTTCCCCTCCCATCCCCACTGCTTCCTCCTTACTGCCCTCCCTTTCCTTGCCTCCCTTCTTCAACCCCGTCCTTCGCCCCTTATAGCCACCTTCCCTTAGCATCACCTTCCTCCCTCCAATCCCCCCACTCTCCCCGCCCTTCACCACCACAGCCTCCCCTTCCTCCACACTCCCACCTAGATCCACTCCCTCGCCCTCTTCCTCCTCCTCCCCACCCCTCTTCGTCCCACCGCCTCCTGTCCCCTGTCCTCCCTCTCCCCTCCCTCCTCCTCCTTCCCCTCTCCCTCCCACTCCTCCGTCTCCTCCCTTCCCCCCTCCCTCTCCCCATCCCCACCCGCCCTCCTCGCCCCACATCCACGCCTGCTTCTTATCCCACCACAGCCAGTCCGCCGGCCGAGGGCTTCTAATCCCCACGCCCCCCTCCATTACCCGTTCTAGCAGCCTCGCTACCTCCTTAACCACGCTGCGCGCGCCCAGGGCCAATGAGAGCTCGCGGCCCGATGCTGACATGGCGAGCGCGTCAGACTGGGAAAGCGACGCAGCTTTAAGGAGCGCCTGTTTCATGGAAGCTTCCTTCCCGGGGTCGTAGAAAAGAGCATGCACGCCATTGGACAACTGTGAGGGGGGGTGAGGATGGGGGGGAGTGGGAGGAGTGGGATCAGTGGGGGACCTGAATGGGAGGAAGAGTAGGAAGGCGAGACGAAGGAAATGGGGTTGGAGCGAAAGGTGCGGCACCTACTAGCAAGCAGCGCCTCACCACTAAGATGCAGCACTCACCACCCAGCACCACCACCCACCACTCACCACCACCACCCACCACTCACCACCACCACCCACCACTCACCACCACAAACCACCCACCACCCACCGAACCACCCATCCTCTCACCAGCAACGGATTCACCTACCCACAAGCCCAACCCCTCACCTCTGCTCGAATCTTGATCAGCTTCGGTGCAACCAACACCTTCCCCAGCGCCAGCGCTTTCACCAGCAGCGGATTCACCTCCCTCTCCTCCCACCGCATCACCATCAGCACACCCCACGAGACACAACACCAAACACCCACCCACCCACGCACCCACCCACCGCCGACCTAACCACTACCCGCACCCACCTACCCGCCCACCCACCCACCTCTGCTCGGATCTTGATCAGTTTCGGCACCACAATCACCTTCCCCAGCGCCAGCGCTTTCACCAGCAGCGGATTCACCTCCCTCTCCTCCTCCACCGAGCTCCACACCACCACATCACTCGCCATCAACACACCCATCCCCTCCTCCCCCTCCGCCTCGCCCACGCCCCACGTCAGATTCGCTATAAGCAGATGCTTCGCTACCACCTTAAGCACCGCCAGCTGCGATTGTGACCCTGAGCTGTTCCAGTTACCCATAAACACCACATGTGCTCGTTCCACTGCTGACACCCCCTCTCGCTCCTTCTGATTCCCTTCCCCTCCTCTCCCTCTCCCGCCTCTTCTCTGCTCCATCCCTCCTTCCCCTCCTACCCCACCTCCCCTTCCTCCACTCCCTTCCCCTCCTCCTCCTCCTTGCCCTCCTCCCTTTCCCCCAGCATCCCCAACCATCCACCCCCATAAAGACCCGCACCCCATGACAGGCGGCTGGACCAATGATTGAACAGCATGCATGGCCATTGCCCGTTCCCGCCACTTTCCCTGGTACACCCTCTGGTTTCCCGCCACTGCTACAGTGAACGTGTCAGGCGGGATCTGACGCGCCGCCCGCTCCGACTCTGGCGAGTGTGACGCGGCGAATCGGGTCGCGGCGTACGTCCACGTGGGCGAGCCGGGAATTACCACAAAGTTTTCAGTGTTCAGGGACTGGTACCGCTCTTTGAGTGCCATGCAGGGGAACACGAGAGCGTCAGGGCGAGCAAATAGGTCCACCCACTGCTGCCTCAGCCCCTGCATATGCTGACTGGACTCGTACACTGCCAGCCTGTCCGCCACGTCAGCCTCGTGCACGACCCACACCAGCGGGACCTCCGTGAACGGCTCTTGGGCCAACTTGGCTATAAACGGAGTGGCTTCTAACGAGTTCGCCAAGACTCCCTGGTAGCTGCAGAAGGGAAGGAAGTCCCACGGGCGACAGCAAGGCGGAATCGCAAGGCCGAAGAGAGGTGCGGGAGAGGTGAGACGAGTGATGGTGCGATGACGGATGAGGGGAGGGGTGATTAGACATGGCACTACTGGATCGCAACGTTGAATACACAGGTTTTGGGATGGGAACCTCGTAAGACAAAGAGAATCACAGGGAGGGGAGGAACAGACTGGAACGGGGTGTGGGGGGACAGTCATGAGCGGGGCGGGGAGACGTACTCTAGCCAGTCAATGTGATTCAGGCTCGTGTTGTGCCGCCCCGTTATAGCCACACGCACGGCCAGGCCCCTCCACGCGTCCGCCATGGGCCCTCCTTCCTGTGCTATCACCTGCAGACACGCGCGGAGCGAGGAGGGGTCGGGAATGGAGCACAAGCGCGCAGAGCACGGGGGGTGAGGAACTGTGAAATGGATCATTGAGACGCGTCTGTCATGGGCCTTCCTCCCTGCGCTATCACCTGCAAGGAAAAGGAGGGAACACGGGTTATTCGTGAAAGGAAAAAGGAGCAGGAAGCGCGGAACGAGGATGGGTGGGGAGCGGAGCACAATGGAGGGTTTGAGAAATGGTTTATTAACGCGTCCGCCATGGGCCCTCTTCCCTGCGCTATCACCTGCCGCGACGAGGAGACACAGAGAATTTGAGGTAGGAAGATAGAGAGGGGAGTGATCAGGGGAGCGATGAGGGAAGCGGAGAGGGGGAGGGGGGAGGGAAGGTAGCCTTTCTATTTCCGAATCGAACCCCCGTGTCCCCATCTAACTGAACTGTGTCCCTTAGCACAGACGAGTAGTGATACCCTTCCGCGTTCTCCGCAATCGACCCCGTGAGGTGTCCCATCCACCTGAATTGCGTATTTCTTACATCGACGAAACGGCACCTAACCCTCCCTCAGTGGCTATCCCAGAGATTCGTATACCCGAGCCAAAATCAAACCACTCGCAATCTATTTTTCCGCACTCAGCCCCACCGGGTTCCCCATCCAGCCTGAATCGCGTCTCATACGGCATAATTTTAACAGCACCCAAACCCACCTCGATGGCGTATCCCAGTGATTTGAGGCCCGAGCCAAGCGTGAAGAAGTACGCGTTTTCCGCATCCCTTTCAAGTCGATTCGTTACAAGCGCCAGTAGAGGCGGTCTCAGATTGGCCGAGACCTCCGTGAGCCATCGCAGCGCGCCTTGCATCTGCGCCGCCCGTTGCTCCATCAACCCTTCCTTCAGCTTCAGCAACTTCTTAACGAGCGTCGAGTCCCTCTTCGCTACAGTCACATCTTTTGCTATCACCTCCCGGCTCTGGAGCTGCCTTTGCCCGAAATCAACTTGTAACTGTCCGTCTAATACTGCGGTTTCTAACTTTTGACTCGTTGCTGAGCTGTGAACGTATAATCCTATACTGAAGCATATGACTGCAGCGAGAACGAAGGGAAGGTACACCCATCGCACAGTGACAGCCGCGGTACTCTTCTTAGTGGGCGTAGAATACGGATCCGAGGTGTTTAAGCTGCTGTTACGGCGAACGCGGTTTCTAGATCGTTGCCGCTCGGGGACGCCGCTACACTTGACAGGCTCTGCGGATTCTGTGTCGAACGAACTCGGCGCGCAGTGCCGGTTCGCGGATGCGTGCCACGTGGCAGAGGCGGACGTTGAGGAATGCGACGCACGTTTCATTGCTGACGTGGGAGATTGGGGAGCCCCTCTGGGCTCGTCTTCGCTCATGGTGGTGTTGCCAGCTCAGCAGAGAATAATCTGACAATGAGAGATGGAAATACGCCGTTGAAAGCGAAGAACGTACCTAGGTAGTAAAGACATCCTTGACTGGAAACACGGGCGTGGGCGACGGAGTGTTCTACGTCGCATCGGAACGCGTCTTAAAATGAGTGTCGTCTATATCGAAGCCTTGAGTATACCACCAGACTACCTACAGGCCCATTCGGAACCCATATTCCTTGATTGAAGCGCGAAACAAGCCTGCTCGAACGAAGAGCTAAGCCCTTCTGATACTTCTGGCGAATAGTGGGAGGAGGGCGGACACAAGGGAACGGATGGTCATTCTAGTGAACTAATTCACTTGAAGACGCGTGAAGTCGTCGGCACATAACGGCTGCTCACACTGCCGGCCCGGAAACGGAAAATGGATGCTGCTAAGTGGGTGCCGCGACTTGAACATAGGAACTCGGAAACAGAGGGAGAACCGTGAAGGTCAGGGTCTGAACGATGAAACCTCGAGGGGAGCGATGCGGCAACTTTTTAGGGGGAAAACCGTGGAGTAGTTTTGCCAAAACTCGAGGCCGCCTTGCTTTTCCCAATTGTTTCCTGGAGTCCCAAACCAGAATCAGGGTTCACGAATCACAAAACCAGAGATCCACCCACCCAAACCAGAGCTTGGAGAAGGCTGTTTGGAGAACAGGTGTGCGTCTCGTAGTGGAGGCGGTAGTACAGAGGTGTAAATGAGGTGAGGCGAGGAAAGCATATCGACGGCTCACCGTTGATCATACGGGAAGTCGCTAGAAAATCGGTCGGTCAATGCGAGAGTCGAGTCAGAGTCTCGATGACAGTTGCCGAAGGTCGCTAGCGCTGCGTCCCAAACCTGTGCTCAACCAGAGCCGAGCCTGAAGGGGGCTTGCCCAAACCTGGGAAACCCATTCAAGCAACGAGGTCCCAAATGACGCTTGCTGCGATTCGGCAAGCCAACATCACCACACAGCCAAGCCCAATGGTCAACCAGATGTGGTTTATGCGTCAACAAGGCACAAGGCGGGAAACTCTACCAAATTTTCGTTGGCTAGGCTGTCAGTGAGGATTTGCTTCTAAAGAGGGGTTCGCTTCCGGGAATCAGGGCACAGCTGTACTAGAATCAGAACGCCTCAATAAAACATACGGTAGTATAGAATGAAACATAAAACTTCAACCAAACATGGCAAAAATCTAGAGGCTACGTGGATCCAGCCGCCTGAGCAGATATTCCACCTGCACTTTCTTTGTCAATGGCATTATCCATTGCCCATAGAGTCTAGCAACCACCTCGGGTTGAATCTTGAAGCTTCCTTGTGGCTGTTGAGTTGTAGCTGCTCCATCATTCACCCCCTTAGCCGGTTCAATTGGACACTCGAAAACATCCTGTCCAAAAGTTGCAGCCTTTCTCTCAACCCGGCGCTGAACCGCAGCTTCGACATCATTGAATGTGAGCAGCTGCATCAGCCCCTCTGCGTCTTGCTTCTCAATTAGGGGTCTATATGTATCAGGACTCTCCTGAAACTTCGCCTCAGCAACAAAGGCTCCGAAGTGAATTCGTTTTGAGAGAGCCTGATCGTTAGAAATGGCAAAGTGGAGTGAGCGAGACAAACATATAAGGGAGGAAGGTGAAAGAAGATGGAAGAAAGTTCGCCATGAGGCATGATCTGCACATTCAGCAAGAAAATAAGAAGAATCCAACAAGATACTAGATACTAGCTGACCTGCAGGCAGAGTACGTCCATGGTGACAGCTGAGCCGTAATTGAAGTCATCGCCATCTCGTGTGATTTCTGGCAATAGATCGTCGAAGTACATCTTCCATATAATGTCATTGATGTTTATGGTGCTCGCCGCATCATGTAACACCTGCATTTGGGCCAACGATGCATTATTATCCAAAAGTATACAGCAAGGCAATGACTGTATCAATATGGAAGAAACATGACATAACATGTCACACAATTGGCTGTCTAAGGAGATGCCATGCATCTGACGTACTCTGGGGTAGTTCAATGGAGGCAGAATAAGCGGCGGAATGGCATCAGGGAAGAACGGCCGTTCCGTGGGGCTTGTGTAGCGCCGAACCTGGTGAAACGTGGCAAACAAACACGCAGCAGATAACAGACATGGAGGTGGTGTCGGATGGAGGCCAATCTTCCGTCAAACCCAAGATAACTAACCTGACGCGACGTGGACCTACTGATGGTCGGATGGAGGGTGTCATTGTCGACAAACTTATGAATGCGCATCTATAACAGAAGCTCTCTTAGCGGAACGTAATAAAGCTGCGATACGGACATTTGTTAGGGGAAATGTCGGGATATTGAGCAAGGGTGGAGAATGTACAAGTGGTGGGAATTCCTTCACTAAGCAGGATAGTTACCTTTCCGTGGAGCACTTCCGTTTCCCGCATGACGAAATCCAGCAGCGATCCTTCGAACCCCGGTACAGGCATGGCTGACGCGTCGTACGCCGGTCTATTGCGACAGAACTGCGACCGCTCGATCAGCGAGAATATGATGCTGTCCTCTTGGCGAATTAGCGAGCTGCGTATGTTCGCCAATGTTACCGTGTGCTGGTCGCTGATATCCATGTCGCCAACGTCCCTGCCTGGGTGGAGGGTTGCCGACGGTTGCGCGGCTGCTGGTGTAATCGCGGAATCAGAGACAGACGCGCCGAGGATTGCGGGGACCGGGACGACGGGAGCCGGGATGGAGGAATTCCCGTGGTCACTACGTAGAGAATTACCTACGAGTGGTGGAATGCGGGATACGCGCCGCGAAAGCCGCTGAGGAGGAAGTTGCTTACGATGGAATAAGGTTGGGATGGTGCTGCTGCTATGAGCCAGTGCGAAGCGTGACTCAATCGCGAGAAGCATCTCGTCAAAGGGTTTATGGTGAAGTCCCACCAGCGAATCAGCACCGCCTGGCAACAGAAATGATTACGTAATTAAGCGCCCATTCAGCAAGGCTGAAGCTCCGACGCAAAGATTAACGTCGGAGACTGCTGATTGACAAATACAACGGCGGACAGCTCGATGATTTCAATGTTCTGCTTTCTGCTAGCGCATATTACGCTCTGCTTTCTACTTATGGACTGGTGGTGGGACTGAGGTGAGGAGCTGGATGGGGGACAATGCGGAAATCTCGAGGGAGCAAGATGGATGGAAACAGCGTAACTTCCTTCTCGCCAGCGCTTGCGGCGAGCACGTGGATGACGAAATGTTGGGGGAAACGAGTCTCTACTGTTTCACAAAATTGACTTTATTACTACAGTACAAGCCAGCAAAGAAGAAACTTCCCTATCCTATAATGGAACCAAATATCATGACACCCTTTTGTGTCATATTCTCCATCTCTTGCTTGCAACAAACATTTGCTTCTCCATCTGCCAGGCCCTTAGCTGCTATTTGTAGGTCTTCTAGAGTAATGTCATAGTAGCGATTGCCTGATTTTCCAGGTGACCTGTCAAGAGATCTAGATGCAACCAGGCGATGCTCTCCAGCGCCTGCATCCACTTCCACGCGATGCAGAAATCCTCCTTTCGGCCGAATAGCTGGCAATGCATTGCTCGATTTTTCCGAATCCTCCTCGCTACCTGATAAAGCTCCCACATCTGTGTCAGACAATCTCCTCCACCTCTCTAACATCTTCCTAGTCTTTTGAGAAGATGAGGTCATCTCCACATCCTCAGCAGCTGCTCCGAGGCTCTTCACCCTCCTCTTCCTGCCTCCTTTCACCACACAGTCAGCTTCAGAATTGTCTTGAAGCAGCTGCTTTGCCCAGGCACTCCTAGGGGCCATGGACCTTCCTCCCCGGAGGGGAGGCACTAGCTTCAGTGGCTGCTGGACGGTACTTGCACGCCTGCAGCTCTTTGGCGATGCTGTTGAGGCTTGCTCCTTGTCCACAGCTTGAGGCTGAAATTGTTTGGAAGACAGAGGTTTACACGATTCAAATCCGGGTCGGATTTCCTCTGTTAAAGCACGATCCCTGCGTGCTGGTTCTGTCGCATGTGTCCTTGGTCCTGCTGCTGATGCTGACGGCACTCCAGATCCCTTCAGCTCCATCAGACATTCTGCATTGCCTTCTGCATGTCCTGCTTCTGGATTTTTCCTGGAAAATGCAGCCTTTGACTGACCAGACGTCCCGACATGAAATCGTGACATGTGAACTTCTTGGCTCCATGGAACATTCAGGTCCAGAACCACAACCGCCTCTGACATGTCAGTGCCAAGGTTCATGGGAGGCCGGTTGGCATATGTTGCTGAAGAGTCCTCTTGTATCATCCCCGTGCCGTCATGATGTGTCATGGAAAAAAACCCACGTCTTGCAATGTCGTCTTTCCAGAAGGGTTGCACAGCAGCGTGATGTAACACTGCATCATGATGTGACATTTTATCGGAATGTATTATGTAAGCGTGGTGACGCATTGTGTCTTCTTGCAGTACCGTGTGCCTTCCATGACGACGCAACCCAGCTTCCCTGAGGCCTGTTTCGGATAGCGGATACGAGCACATGATTTCGTTGCTGATGCCAGCGGTAAATTCCATCATGCTCGGAGTCTTGGAGTTAGGACTGACGCCGTTTGGACTCATGGCGTTGCTCTTATTGCTCGTACTTCCGCAGCAGCCCGCACGTTCGTCGAGTGAGGCGATAAACTCCACGTCTTCTGTTCGAGGTTCCCACGGATAAGAATAAGGGCTTGACGACGATGCGCTGCCGAAACTCATGCGGAGAGCGGTGCTTGGTGGGAGAGTAAAAGTACTTGATCGAAAGTCTAAGGGGTACGAAAGGGTGTGAAATTGACCAGACGTATCACGCGTCGGAGATCTTAGAGTCTCTGATCGCACATGGAACAGACACAACGGAGACAGGAATAGGCCGTGGATGTGTACGCCGTGTAGGCAGACGGGTGGAAGAGAAGACTAAGCAGCTTCCCACAAAATGCTTGGTGAGAGAATGCGGGCCTTCCTCGATTTTATGAGTATATCGCTCTTCCGTCCGACCTAGAGCACGACATAGGCGTCTACGCAACATAGTGAAGCCGTTGGCTGCATGGAATTCAAGCACCATGGAGAATCTGAAGGGAGAAAATGCTGGTGAGGCTTTGTCGTGACGGATATTGGGATCTCGATCTGACGCTTTGATCACCCAGTTCCGTGACGGTTGCGCGAGACTATGCTGAGTCATTGGGCACATGGCATCCCTGAACAAAAAGACGGTGAGCTTGGCGCTAGCGTCATGACTTTCCATGGCCGCTGAGGCCAAAAAGGCGTTCGACAATGCCGCGCCTGGTGTGAGTATTGCCACACGACAGTGGCTGAGGGAGATGATTTGGTCGAAAGAAGCTTCATGGAGTCAGCGCACACGAGGATGAAGGATCAGACTTGGTGAACGTCAGCAAATCTCCTCCAATCTAACTCATCCTGATCGTCGCATCCGTGGTGCGGATCGAAACAAGTGCAAGTGACGCCTACTTTCTCGCCACAGAAACGGACTGGCGCACATGGCGTTTGAGAGACTGCGCGGGTTGCTCGTAACGCAAGAGGACAATATCTATTGATAAGCTTGCACCAAAGGAGCACCGCCTTAATCTCCCAGGAAGTGGTGCAACCATCTTCACTTCCCCCTCTGTCCCTTATCTTCCAAATCGCTGAAGCATCAGGTTTGAATGCTCTCGACATCTTTCGTAGGGAGGGATTGGACACGATTTCCTGGTTTCCGAAGGGTTAAAACTAGAAGAGTGTAGGTGCAGTGCGGTAGCAACTCGATCGTGACTTCGTTGATCCTACTCGATCGTGCGGTAGCAACTCGATCGTGCGGTAGCAACTCGATCGTGTTGATCCTACTCCAGATGGTTATGCACGTGAACAACGTGCTACCGAGTCCAGATGGCAGCAGGCACGTGAAGGATAGCGTGAAGAGGGACACTGGCGGTGGATTTTCACAATCGCGAAAATCGCATTTATCACATATTCCACTGTAGACACTTCCTTTGCTTTCTGTTGGTACTGCATGTGTCGTGGAGGTTTTGCAGCCTCTAACAAGGATTTCACTTCATGTCCTCAAGGGTCACCGCCATTTTGGGCCAATCACGAAGGCAGAAACTCTACATGTTCTAGTTCAGAACGAGGTATGCTTTATGTACTACTGTTTCAAATATGCATCCACACCAGGGCTTATTTTATCAGTGTAAATCACCCTGATACCCTGATTATCAAGGTGGTTTTTGGTAGTCACACTGATGCCTTAGGGTAATTTTTTTGGGAGCTAGATTTTTCCTGATATGCCAGGGTTTACGATTAAGGCACACTGATGCCTCAGGGTTGCCGTTCCTCTTAGCGAGTTTTACCCTGAAGCGAGTACCACCCAAATGCCAACTGTCGAAATTGAAATTTTGGCCACAACATTACATGTGTTGGCACGAAGTGTCTTATAGTATAGGCATGAGTGAAATTGACAGTCGAGAGGGTTGGTACAAAGGAGAAACCTAAGGGGTTGTACCCCACAGTGAGTACCCCACTAAGCCTACCCAAACTATAACATATATATATACATGTTTGACACACCCCCATAGGCAAAGTGGGGGAGAACAGAGGGTCACAAGACCAGTCAGGAAATGCAAAGCAAGCTCAGGGTGGATCACAACGTCACCACACAGTCTGAGGACAAGCAAAAGGCCACAAGGCCAGTTCACATGCAGAGATATATATGTAACAACAACAGCACAGTGATCTCTATCTA